CGGCCTAGTCTCGAGTGTTAACACCCGAACTTACCGTCATGCATCACATAATGTTTATATGTCACAAACATCATTTTTATTGTACAAAATCATATTTATATTGTGCATAATTAATTGGTATCAAAAATAGGATTTTAGAGCATATTTTTAGGAACATTTTCATCTGGAATTGAGGAAAATAATTTAAAATAATCAATTAATTTATAAAAATTGATTTATATAATTTTATATAATCCATTAATTCATAATAATTGATTTTTACAATTTAAATAATCAATTAATTCATTATAATTGATTTTTACAATTTAAATAATCAATAAATTCATTATAATCGATTTTTCCACTATAAATAATCGATTAATTCATAAAAAATTGATTTTTACAATTTAAATAATCCATTAATTCACAATAATCGATTTTTACAATTTAAATAATCCATTAATTCATAATAATCGATTTTTATAATATAAATAATCAATTAATTCATAATAATCGATTTTTACAATTTAAATAATCAATTAATTCATAATAATCGATTTTTACAATTTAAATAACCAATTAATTCATAATAATCGATTTTTACAATTTAAATAATCAATTAATCCATAATAATCGATTTTTACAATATAAATAATCGATTAAATGGTACTGACTTCGAACCACTAATCTGAATAAAATTCTAATCGATTTTTAGTAAGTAAATAATCGATTTTCGGCCACTGTTCATCGTCTTCTACCTTCGGTACATTTTCGGACATATCAATTTTAATTACCAAACTTGAATTAAACTATATAGAAATGTTCTCCAATGTTCATAGATCATTTTAGAATCATTAAAACATATTCTTAACATCAAATTCAAGGTTTATGATTCTTGGTTCTTCAAACAGGTCAAACACAAAACTCAACGAAACGACCATTTATGAACGTAAAAACAACCTATGTGAACATTCTAGTCATTAGATATATCTACAGGCTTACCTCGAAGTGTAATGGAGGTTTTGAAGATTTTCCGGCAAAACTTCCGGCGACTCTATCTCACTGCTCCGGAGACCTCACACAAAGATGACAGCACCACTGCACTCTACTCTCAGCAAGGAACAATATAGAAGGAAAAATGAGTTGTTTTGGTGATGAAATGAAGGAGTTGGGTTGTCCTTAAATAGCCAAGTGAGGAAGGAAGAAGACATGAGTTGCAGCTTCCGTGATTGAGCGACGATTTGGAATCGTCGTAATTGAACATGGCGCCGTTTGGTGCGTAGTCCCTGATTGGGACTAATTTTGGTCCCAGTTGGGGTACACTTTTTGTTCCTACTTTCTCCAAATTGAAATCTGATTGAACCGTTGGGGTCAGACAGTCAAACTCTACATAATGATATGATTTTCATTATTTATTGAGAAACTTTAGAATTTACTTATTTTTGTGTCCTTCTCAGTAATTAATTAATTATAAATTAATTAACTCTGATAGGCCTATTTTTGGGGCGTTACATATATTGACCCGCAAAAATATATTTGTAAACTTGAAAGTTGAAAATAGTGCAAAATATTGACCCACAAAAAAAACCAAAGATAGAAAAGGGAACACTTTTTGTAGTGTGTAACATTGGTTTTTAGTAAATCCGTCAGCTCTTCAATTCCCACAACAACACCGTCCGCAATGAGCCACATCAACTCGACGGCCGGCGTTGAGAGTTCTCCGAACCACGTCGTCGGTGATTGGTTCTCCGTGCCGGAGCTCAGACTCCGAGAACACTGGTTCACTGTTCCGCTCGACCACTCCTCCACAGATCCCCGTGGTTCCCCTACTATCTCCATCTTCGCCCGCGAGGTCGTTGCTGGTATTTGCTTCTCTCCACCAGTTTAGTTTCAGTATATCCATATGTATGATCATCGGGATTTTATCCGACTGACTTACTTCTATGTGCGATCAGTGAATTCAAAGCGGGAGTTCCTGTTCATCATTTCAGTACTGTATATCGCGATAGTTCAATGTCTATTGCCTTTTCTGTATCGGGATAAATTCCATTGATAATTTTATTTTTTGTTCCACTGCATTTGATGAACTATAAAAAGCTGGTAAAGAAGAAATTCATCTACCATATCTGGTCTACTTACAAGGAGGGCCGGGATTTGAATGTCCACGGCCAACTGAAGCTAGTGGATGGATAAGTAAAGCCTGTGAAGAATATCGTGTGATTTTAATGGATCAGGCATGACTTGCCTTTTTTTGTTCTCTCTATTGTCTATACAAATGCTGGATTATTTGTGATTTTTAGTATTTACATATAATGTTCTTACCACTGCAGCGAGGAACAGGCCTGTCCTCGCCCTTGACGACATCATCTATGTCGCAAATGAATTCTGCTGAGGAGTTGGCTGATTACTTGAAGCACTTTAGGGCGGACAGCATCGTATATGATGCTGAATTTATTCGCAAATGTATTGTTCCTGATGCCGGCCCTTGGACTGTTTTAGGACAGGTATTGTCATCATTCATCAAGGGTCTCAAAGAAATTGTTTTATTAACTTTACTTTGTGCTTATCTGTGGTCCTCACACACCCGTAGATACATAATACAATCTGATGTTCTCTGCCCTCACCCACATCACATTGAGGGAGTGTGTGCAATGATAGTTCATTGTTTTAAATGGAATTCCAGTGTTGATATGTGTTGTTTGTTCTTCTAGACTGTTGATAATGAGAATCCATCTACTTTTTATCTCAGAGCTTTGGAGGTTTCTGTGCAGTCACCTATTTGAGTTTTGCTCCACAAGGATTGAAACAAGTTCTAATAACAGGTGGACTCCCTCCAATCCAAAGTGGCTGCACTGCTAACCGTGTATATACAGCAGGATTTGAGCTAGTAACGCTTCAGAATGAAAAATACTATAAGAGGTTTCCTCAAGATATTAAAATTGTCCAAGATGTCGTTAAACACTTGGCAGAATCTGACAGAGGAGGGGTAAGCAAATTTAGATTATCGTATATTTTATGCGATCATAATATCTGGGCATACTTAGTAGTTATTACTGTCTGTTCCTCTCAGCTCCCTCTATTTTCCTATGTTGGTGGCATAGGTGTGCCTTCCATCAGGTGGCATTCTAACACCTAGAGGAATACAACTGCTTGGTCTCTTTGGTTTAGGATCCAGTACTGGTTTTGAACGCTTGCATTATATGTAAGTTATATCTTTCATTTTCGTTTTCTTTTGGCAGCACAATGGTACAAAATACAACTTCTACTTTTCTATGATGCTAATATACAATGAGTCAATGACCAATAGGTTTGAGAGGGTTTGGGATCCGGTAATAGTTCCAGGAACAAAAAGGAGAATCAGCTACTGCTTCTTAAATGCTGTAAGAGAACACATTCACGGTCACACACGCAGAGTTTTATTTTTTTTTCCAGCAAATACAAGTTGAGCGTGCTCTCAAAAATTGCAGTACGAAAGATGGCTGCCATTTGATACAAATCCCTTATATGCAATACTGCAAGAGTCATTATATTGCCAGGTAACTTTCATTTTACTGTTGAAATCTAATGTAGAAAGATGTATGAAGCTTCCACAATGTGTATTAGTGGTGTTTAATTTGTCAGTATTGTAAAACTGTAGGGTTCTGCGTCAGAGTGGTCTGCTCACAGAATAAGAGCTGAAACTGAGAACAAATTTGATGCAGTTGAGGCTGCTAAAGAAGGGCGTCCTGTGCTTTTCACTGGAGAAGTGAGAATATATGCATACTCACCCCCCCCCACCCACCCACCACCACGACAATGAAAGCTAAAAGAAAAAAAGATGCATGAATGGAACATGGACCTTAAAATTTTCTTAAACCTCTTATTGGAATAATTTAATTGATGCAATGCCTAAATAAAATTGCCCGGTGAACATTCTTTTTCTTGCTCATGCCTGCAGATGGTATTTCCATGGTTATTTGATGAAATTCATGCCTTGAGGCCATATAAAGAAGTTGCTGAATTGTTGGCAAAGAAGAAAGATTGGCCTCCACTCTATGACACTGCTATGTTGAAGAATAACAAGGTATGTTATGCTTTCGGTGTGTGATCCCTCACCATGAACCATGAATGAAATTAGTCCAGATATCTGAAAGTTCACATATACATACTTTCATCAATGAAGTAGTTGGTGTGTGTGTGTGTGTGTGTGTGTATGTGTGTATTGCAGAAGGTGTGATATGTTTGTTTTGGCTGAATGGTATGGTTAGGTTCCGGTTGCTGCAGCGGTTTATTATGAAGACTTGTACGTCAACTGTAAACTGTCAATGGAGACTGCATCAGAGATAGAAGGGATGAGGGTGTGGGTGACAAACGAATACATGCACTCGGGGCTGAGAGATGCAGGACCTCGGGTTTTGAAACACTTGCTGGGTATGCTCAATGGAAGGAAGCCGCTGTTTTAACCCTTTCTTCAATCTCTTCTCACCTTTGCTCGGCGCCGAGCTGCCCTTTTTTGTATAAAAAAAACAAGAATCTGCAATGATCATACCAAGCATTAACTCACATGTGTGAGAGGTGTTCTTAACCAAGCATTAACTCACAAGTGTACTAGTCTGGTTTTGGTGAGTACTCCCTTATTTAAGTTTTATTTTTGGTTTTCTTTTTTAATGTGTGTGTAATCAAAACTCCAAACAGTCCAATTAAAGATAGTAGAATGGGAACGCAGATTAGGCTTGTTGACAACAAGGCAATCTTGGGCCTGGCATGTGACGTGAAGCAGCCAGCAGCTAGCGCAAACAAAAAAAAACGGCTTTAATTGGCAGCGCGCGCGGCCCTTTGACAAAGTGGCAAACCGGTCAAGATTCCATCTGCTGTTGATGTTATAATCACTCAAATCAAGTATCTGTTTGATTTGATTTTTTTTTTAAAATTCAAATGGTGCAGTGGAAGAAATAATAATATGGATGAATGACTCAATTCCTATTTCTAAAAAATAAAGGGCCATTAGGAACTCACCATGATTGCTTTCATGAATGACAATCATGATCTAATTATCTCTGGACATAGACGATTATCGTCTATACATATGTAAAATCATATGGGATAATCATAAGTGAAGGTACTTGTGATAAGTTTTTAGCATGAATTTAATTTGAAATGTTCATAGTAGGAGTGGAATTTTTAATTTTGGGACAGAGTGTTATGTGCCACTTTTTTTTCTTTTCTTTTGGAAAAGAAATGTCATGTGCGGTGTTTCATTGGGTGTGTTGTGTAGCTTTAGCATAACATGACGCACATCTCCCTGTTCCCACTTCCATGTCAGACTCAATTCCAACCCCATATTTCTTTTGAGCAATGCTAGGGGTACACCAATGGTGTACCCCAAATGTACACCACCCCTTCTCCACCACCCATTTTTATTTTATTTTTATTTATTTATTTATTTTGAATTTCTTGCCTTTTTTGTGGACAAGGAGGGGGTGGGGGACAAATGGGGTACACATTTGGTGTACCCCTAGCATTTTTCATTTCTTTTTCCCAAATTTATTTTACTAAAAATTTTAAAAAAAATGAAATTATGTGATTGAAAATGATGTACATGTAGAAAAAACTACAAAACATTTTCTAAATATTAAAGAAAAGTGCAAGATAAATTATTTAAGACAACCGTACCTGGGTCGGCCCCAAAAAATGAAATAATAAAATTGTCTGGTCCAAAATTTACATTTAGGCTCTATTTTTTTTATAATATTTATGCTTTAAAATTAATGTAAAATTTAAAAATATGAAACCCTAAAATTTTAAGGACCCTGTGCGGTTGACTATTTTGCACACCCTCCAGACCACCCATGAAGACAACACATCAAATGAAATAAAAATAATTATTTAGGGATGGATTATTTAATTCCTTCGGACTACTATGTGCATGATTCTTGTAGATATGGTACAAAGTGAATACTCCGTATATAGTTGCATTGCCATGCCAATTAACGTCAATAGGCAAACCAATCACGGTAGAAGATCTTAGCTCAATACTAATTGTTTGCTGCCTCAAAATCTTATTCTCATTCATATTTGTATTTGTGTGGTTCATATTCATTCACATTTTATCAAACTTTTTATCATTAATACTATTAATCATACTATTTTATTTTTTATTTTTTTGTCATTTTATTAATGTCCTCAAAATAATGGCATGAAAGACAGTATATTATTTGAGTACATTAAAAAGCACGTGGTGGAGTCCTTGTCTGGCATTGCAAGGTGAGTAATATAATGTCAAAGGGGGGCATGCACCAGCTTCAGCTTGTTTGGGTACGTACTTCACTGAAGTAGTCTAAACATAGAGTAAGAATTAGGTGCAACGAAACCGACCAATTTAATTTGAAATTGGTACCTCTTTACAATTCTAGTCTAATTTAAAATAGGCTCCTAACAACTACTCCATCCGTCCCATAAAACTTTTCTACTTTCTTTTTTTATCCGTCCCACAAAACACTTCTCATTTCTATTAAAAAGTCACTTTTACCCCTTACTTTTTCATACCCTAACTATCACATCATACCTTTTTACTAAATCATACTTTTACCCATCACATCAAAGGACATTTTTGGAAATTCAATACCAAAATACACTCCCCTTAAATCCCTAATAAAAAGCAAAACTCTCATGTTTCATGGGACGGAGGGAGTACATAAACTACTGCATAACCAGCTTTGCAGTTTTGCAATGCTCAAAAGGACTACACAAACTACTTGCAAGCACTCACTACATATAGGAGTATAATGTTATATTCCCTCCCTCCCAAAAATTAATTCATTTTTTATCCTACTTTTACTCATTACATCAAGGATATTTTTGAAAAGTCAATACAAAATTATTTCTCCCTTATTTTGCCACTTGAGCCAATATGTCTCTCGTTTTCTCAGACAAAGGGAGTACAAAATATAAATGGGGGCATGACGATCATCATCATAATATTTAAATAACAAGTAGCAGCCTAGCATCGAGTGTTAACATTGTAGCTTGTCGTCATACATCAAATAAGATTTTTAAATTGATCAAAACATCATATTTAACCTGAAAATGATATTAACTTTTATTTATAGTTGAAAAGTAGAAAAATTAAGAATTTACAGCTTTAAAATCTGGATTTTCCCGTGCTGAAAGGATCGTGACGATCGACCGTTACCGCCACTATGACTGGACATGCGACGGTCGATCGTTAGCGTCCAACGATCGACCATTACCGCCATGGCAAAACTGGTTTAATTTGAGAGACGGTTAGCGGTGTCGAGGAACAGTCGGCCATTCTACAATTGGTTCGGAAATTTTTTACAGTACTTCGTCTTCAACCTTGGTTCAAAGTTCCAAAATATCATTTTAAGCTACCAAACTTTAATTTTACTATATAAAAATGTTCTCTAGCATCCATAGACCATTTTTAAACCATTAATTCGAAGCTTTGACAATAATATGAAGGTTTATGATTCATGATTCATTAAAAATATATTTTGAGTTTTTCTAACAAATAACTCAAACAAATGATCGCCTATGAACGTAGAAACGATTTATATGAACATTCTAATCTAGGAACTCACCTCGAGCTTAAAAGAAGGAGATAGAAATTTTACAGTGAAACTTCTAGCAACTACCACGACTTCCTCCGGCGATACCAGCAACGACGAGCTATGGCGGCTTGCTCTCCTCACTCATAGGAAGACGAAGGAATGAGAAGGGTCAAGGTTTCCTATAAAGTAGTTGAAATGGAAAGAAGCCAAGCCAAATCTCCTTCCTAAGATTCTTGCATTCGACGAAAATTCTCAAGCCGCTCAGTGTGCTATTGTAAAAATTTACACGCTCTCCCTGACTGGGACATAAATAATCTCAATCAAGGTATACTTTTTTATCCTACTTTCTCCAAATAAAAATTTGATTGTATCGTTGTGATATCAGACAGTCAAACTCTACGGAGCAATATAATATTCAAAATTAGTTGACAAATTTTATAAATAACTAATGTCTATTAATTCTGATATGTCTATTTTTGAGATGTTAGAGTTCTTATATAACTTAAAATACCCATAAACTTTTTCACAGTTTTTTTTCATATAGGATGTGTTGCAGTGTTGGGCGCCGGTGGTAGAGAAGTAGTGTCAAACAATGTAAATCTGAATTTGATTACTACTGTTGGAAGATATGGGTTGGGCTCTTGAAACCATTCCTCCAAAGCAAGTTTGAGAGTTTTTCAAGAGTTGACACAAAATTTAAAAGAGAGAGAGAGAGATAGGGCAATTGGCAGTGATGATGATGATGATAATAAATGAGTTTCCTCTGCTTTCCGAACGACTATTAAATGCTGCGCCTTAACGCTCCACCCACCCACCTTCTTCTTCTTCTTTCCCCCCCTACTCCTCAAATGGACCATTTCGCCCTCCAAACCCTCTCTCGATGTCCGCCGACGCCGCCGTTTCTTCTTCCCCTCCGCCCGCCGCCGTTTCCCTCTCAACCAACATCGCCACCATCGGCCTCGGCTACGCCATTGCCATCGCCTTCGGCTTCCTCGTCCTCTTCTCCACCGTCCTCCTAGCCTCCTACATCTGCTGCCGCTCCGCCGCCGTCCGCCGCCGCCGCCTCGATGTCGAGGCCGACCACCGCAACCCCATCCCCAACAACAACGGGGTGTACCTCCCCCGCATAATCTTCTCGGCCGAAGAAGAGGACGACGACGGCGCTTCCGAGCACGGCGGCTCCGTCGGCCTCGACCCAGCGGTGATCAACTCCTACCCCAAACTGGTCTATTCTAAGAGGAGCGGGATTCCCGGAAGCGACTCCACTTGCTCCATATGCCTGTGTGAGTACAAGGATTCGGAGATGCTGAGGATGTTGCCTGATTGCAGGCATTACTTCCACGTCACCTGCGTCGATGCCTGGCTGAAGCTCAACGCCTCCTGCCCCGTCTGCCGGAGTTCGCCCTTGCCGACGCCGCTGTCCACTCCGCTATCGGAGGTGGTCCCCCTCTCTCAGTATTCCGGTGGACGGCGGAGGCAATGATCATTATTTTTCTTACTAGTGTTGCACGGATTTTTATTATTATTACTCCGTATTTACTAACTCCCTCTTACAATTCAAATCTCATTTTCATTTTGGATTTTTTTAAAGTCAAATTGTAACATTTTTTTTATTTTTCCAAAATTAAAGTCTAATGTTAACTTTTTTTTGCAATCTATAATAAAAGAAGGGTTACAATTTGACAAAAAAAAATCGAGCTGGGATTTTAATTCTTGTGAGCCGGAGGAAATATTATGGAGTGTAAATGTAAAGTTGAGTATTATTATGATTATTTTCACTCTACTCTTCATTTTTTTGGTTGACTAAGGATTATTTTCACTCTATCGAGTTTGTCTTTCTTTTCTTTTTTTCAAGGTTTTTGTTTCAACTAGAAAGACTTGTGTTTGCATAACATTTGAAAGTTGGGGGGGAGTGGTTGTTAGAGATTTTAGGGTTTAGAACTCATCATTTTAATGTAACCAGTAGTAAGTTTGAAGCAAACACAAATTATTGGGAGGGAAGCCACCGCATGCGTAGTAAGTAGCTGAAATCATCTTATCTGACTGACTGACTGACAAATGCATGCACTGCTTGGGACAACACTGAGAGGATGATGTGTGGTTTTCTATTGTTACACAAATGAAATAACAACAATTATAATAAATAAAGAATGGTTTTTCATTACTATATACTCTACCACAGCATACTATGTGTGTAAAAAGAAAGAAGAGATTGGAAATGAAACATGATTGGATGAGACACACGTACTGTACATTTGTTGTTTTAATATCTCGGTGGCGGTGTTGAGAAGGGAGAGAAGTAGTGATTTGTTGATTCAGAAGAGGTAAGAGGCACAGTTGAGAACTCAGACTCTGACTGCTGCTGCTGCTTCAAACTCCCTCTGGAAGACGACGAAAAGGGAGCAGCAGCAGCCGAAGAAGAAGAAGAAGAAGAAGAAGAAGAAGCTTCTCCGGCACTGCCACCTCCTCCTCTCCCACCTTCTCTCTTCTCTCTTTCCTCCGTCTCCTTGAGAAGAAAATCAACCCATAGATCTGCAAACGACTGTGAATACAACGCACACACATATACACAGCCACGACAGTCATCAATTTAAAGAAGAGGTTGAGGTATAATAAGATGGTGGAATTATAGATGATGGCATGACCTACCTGGTCATCTGATGTCATACTACCAGCAGGGGGGTTGGAATCTCCACCCCCTCCTAAAATGCCGCCTACTAGCCGCCCCGGTAGACCAAACATGCCCCTCACCACCCCTTTTCCCCCTGATCCTTGTTGTCCCGAACCACACCCCATTCTCTGTTTATCTTCCTCAGAAAATCCCAACATGCGCACCATCAACTCCAAAACCTAATCATTATACAATAGCACAACTACAATTATAATACCAAATCGTTTGTTTTTTTTAAAAAAAAAAAAAAATTAATACATAGTATCATTCATCAGGAAAGTGTCTAGATCCTTGACATGTCAATTGAACAGGAGACTTGAACGAGATACCTCTTTGCTGTGGTTTCTTTGGAAGTAGGTCACTAGTAACTTGACCACAATTCGCCTGCCAAGTTTTCACAAAGACATGCTGAGACTGATGACATAGACATTGTGAGTACTATCCTAATAATATGCAAATTGGATTATTATGCTACTGACATAGGCCCCATTTGGCATCAGCGTTAGCGTTTTCCAAATTAATCTACACCGTTAATATTTTTAACAAAAATGCTAACGCTAATTGAAAGGCTCTTCCCAAACAAGACCATAACCCATTGCAGTTACTTTAACAGATACACAAGTGCCACAGATGAAACGAGGAGGATGTGATAGTTGTATACTTCTGGGATAACATACCTGTCAACATAATTGTCAGAGTCTAAAGACATCCTGTTTAGCCTGGTCATGCTCTGTTCAAGAGCACGGCGTAGTTTTTCATTGTCCTGCTCAAGCTTATTCATTCGGTTCTTCCCATCAGCAAACCTCTTTTCCGCTTCCGAGAGCTTTATTAATACTTCTTCCTTATCCCTGCTCAAGGTGTTTGACTGCTCATATGCATCCTAATGAAACCATACACACCTTTTAGAGTAGAGATACCAAGGAGAATGGTTCAAAAATTCACAAACAAAACTAGGATGACACAAATTCCATGATCAACATTGTAGTGACTACAGGTTAAATGTATTAAAACCCACAGGCCCACATGCATACCTTAGTTGTTTGTATTACCTGAAATGTTCACTCTAAAAAAATTGAAGGCAGCGCATGTAATTTATTACCAACTGGAATGTAACCATTCGATATTCAATTAGAACAAGAACTATAATATTTTCAACACAGCGTATGCATTGTCATCATAATTATCAGCACCTTAATCGAACTAGTTGGGCCATTGACATCAAGTTTATAATTCCAATTAAATGTATAAAACTAATTAACACTACAAAGTCATGGAAAAAGCATAGTGGCAATGTTTTATGTTGGACTTGGATACCTACACTCGTATGAAGGGAGGAGTCATGAGAGAGAGAGAGAGATATGGAGTTTAATATATACAACCCTTGAAAATACTACTTAGCTTAATATGTTTGAACATGATAATCTTCTTATAGTCTTATGTATCAAATTACAATCTATTGCATTATTCTTCTTACAACTCTAGTGGTACCATTTCTAATACTCCCTCTAGTCCTTAAGGCGTCACTATTTTTCTTCTAGGGAGCTTTTTTTTTTGTCTGCCTCTTGTCTGCCCATACAAGGCATCACTTTTTTTCATGTGGGACTCTACTGGGTTTGTTGTTGTTGATGTTTGCCCCTAAAATATTGTATCTATATTTATTTTTTAAAAGTACTCATGAGGAATAAAAATGAGGTTCAAATTTGTACTCTTTCAGGTCCCTATTAATCCAATTATAAGGTAGTTCTACCTAATTCTCCACTACCAATAAAGTTGGTTACGGATTACGGATTCAACAAACTTATATATTTTTACAATCATTCCCTTAAGGACATCAATGATGTGTGGTTCAATGTAGAAAAGTAAACTTAAAAGGCGTCATAGGAGGAAGAAAGTTTGCCTAACTCAAAATTATCAAAATCTCTTATTAACTGGACCAATAAACCCTTCTAGAAGAACCCTTATAATAGGGGCCGGAGAGTATATCATAAATTCGTAATATCTTTAAACCTTGAGAAGACTAACTACTACAAAGTATTATCTACTTTCCATGGTTTGTGTGCACTGTAACAAGCATCGGAGGGAGAATTTGTTGTCACTAATGAAGAATACATATAGCAAATGAAGAATAGCAAATGAAGAATAGTTCCTCTTATAAAACCACATAGCTTGATTAGAATGTTTAAAATCTTCAAATACAATTTCAATATGAAGTCATAAAATCTATTTGAAATGTAAAGCATAAAATAGTTCAGACCTTCAGAAGCCCAGAAAGTCTAGATGACTCTTCCTTCAATGCTGTCAAATCTTCTGCCATGCGTTCCTGTCCATTCAAAAACTGTGCCATTAGAACCAGAAACAGCTGCAGATATTGCATTTTTTTGTACCAACCCAGACTGAAAGAAGAATAAATAATGATATCAATAAATATTCATATTTCTCCCATCCTAATTTAAATGCTAAAGTATTTTTTCATTGTCAATCAGAAAAGATGTTCAAATTTCATAAAACACTAATAACACAATCCAAACAAATGGGTCATCCTGCCACTACAACATATGTTCATGTCATAAGTTAACACCCCTACACTCTTGAGTTTAGATAGAACTTACCTTAGCTTCCATTTCTGCATAGTACTGGCCAAGTGCAGTTTGCAGGTTAAGGACTTCAATGTTTTTGGCTTCTATGGTGCTCAAACAGCTTGCGAGTTTTCTATTCAGCTCGTCAACTGTTTCCTTTGACTTTTTAAGTTCTTTATCATTGCAAATCTTGACTTCTTCCAAACTACCAACTGCCTGCTTAAGAGCTTTCTCCAAGTGTAATATTTGAGCTTGTTGAAATTCACATTTTTGTTGTAATTCTTCAATAACTTTGTTGTCTTCATCCATTTTCTCTGATTCTTCAGATTCCTAGAACCATGGAAGCAAAATCTTTATTTTCTCTTCAGGTAATCAATATGGAGTATAAAGCAAGAGGTCCACAGTTGAAGAATCGTTACTAATGATACCAAATTGATGTTAATAGTTAGGACTATGGTTGCCAGTTGCCACATACTACGTATGAGATAAAAGTAATAATTATCACACAATTAGATTTGTAAGAGAAACTAAAACACAGACAGATCCTGCAGAATTCAGAAGAGCAAAAAATTAAAAAAAAATATAGAAAGATTAGTAAACCTGAATAACACATTAGATGCCTACTCTTTTCATTATTAGCCTAAATAAAATGTTCAAGCAGCAGAACTAACAATGTTAAACCACATGAAAGAAAAAGAAAGGCTCTTTACCTATGATCCAGAAGATTGTACCATGGTCTAGCTAAATGAAAAGAGCAAATAGGAAAATAGTCTAGAAAGGTCTAGAGAACTTCAAGAGTAATTCACAAATGCATTCTATTACATACTGATCATATTTATTCAATTACAGAGTATTTATTTTGAAATCAGTACTTCTATAACACCAAAAAAGAAGAAAAAGACTAAAAAAGAAGGGAGAGGTGACCTTCTCTAGCAAGTGTTGCTTAAGACGGTTCAGTTCTAACCATGCTTTGTCCTTTTCTCTACATGTTTCCTTCAAATCATTTTCAAGTTTTTGTAACGATCTCTCCATCGCTTCTTTTCCTGGAGATACAGATGATGACTGAACCTAAAATTTCAAAAATGCCAAAGAGATCATTGAAGGAGCTTGAATGGGGGGGGGGTTACAAAGGTAGGGAGAGCAAGATTATTCAAAATTAAAGATATATGCAGTCATTTTTATCTTATACGTTGTAGTAAGTAACATTTTATAGTTGAGCATACCAACCTCATCACCACGAGATGAATGAGTCTCTACTAACAAAATTTTGGATGCTTTCAAGGAGGGCCTACCTTCTCATTACATGAATTAGGAATGCAAAAGCACTCGAAACACTATAAGATGAACTTAGAGAATAATCAAATGCAAAGGCTATTCACCTTGAGTTTATTGTTTTCTATTCTCAGTGCAGCTATTTCTCTTTTCAAATGGAGATGATGAAATAGACAAAGGAATAACAGAGACGAGACTTCCAAATACACGTTAACGACCTAAAGACGTTGAAAGACTAAGTAAAGTAGTAATTAGAAACGTTGGAGCCTTAGGGAGACTATGTTGTTTCATATTTCTCTACATTTCTAACAATTTCGTTTATATGTTTTGACGCGTTCCAAAGTACTTTTTATGATATACTGATGTTCCTGATCATCATGAAGACCAACTAAAATTCAGCAATAAATGGATTTCTTAATGATAAGATACTGTAATTCGCATTTTTCAACAACACAAGTTAACATCTATGAATTTCAATATAACAATCAAATTGGGCTAACAAAAAGATGAACAGGTATTGGAAAATGTATCAACTGAGAAATAAGTCAGGTAACAATGTAATATTAACATTCAAATCCAAAATAAGAAACATAATAGCATAATAATAAAACGTAGCATCCTGCATTCATACGCAGCTGTATGAGTGGAAAAGCAGCAACCTTTAGTGAAGTGTGGATGTATTTACGTCTTAACTTACATTGTCCTTGTCAACTTTTAAAAAGTTCAGCTCCTGCTGAAAAGATGCATTCAATTCCTGCTCTTCTAAGAATGAAAAAATGCAATCAGTGTGAAAAATCACTAGAAGCACGGATGAATTAACACTAAAACTGTTAGTCTATTGGACTAGAAAGCAGGTACCTTTTAATTTTGTTTCTATATTTTCTAGCTTGCGGCGTTCTTTATTAAGATCCATTCCCAATTGCTTTATCTGCAACTCATAACTTTCTTGCATTGATGAAAGAGACTTGTTCTTCTCTTCCAGCAAATCTGCAAGCTCCTAAAATTAAATTTATGTCAACCTTTTTTTTGTTATGTAGACATCCAACATAACATATAGAAGTAATTGAGATCCTGTGACAGGATAGCACTTAAACCAAGTCAAAACATGCAGCATATTGTCCATTAAATATGCAGTGCAAGGTCCGCAAATACTAAAAAATGATTACATGTGTCGGGTCAAATGAAAATTCTAGATATATGATAGCAAATTCAGTTCACAACTTTCACAATAATGATGCTTTTCAGTATTAGAGAGACAAAAGCAGAATCCAACTTTAGCAACATTTATCATTTTAAAAAGAATAATAGAAGCGTGATACAACCTTCTCGCCACCAATGATTTCTCCATTGCTTAGTCCATCATGCCGAGGCAAAACACCGTTACCGAATGGGGTTCCTGCTATGTCATTCTTTGCAGCAGTTTTATGATGACTAGTTAATGATTGATCACTGCTCCCCTACACAGAAGCACAAACCATTTAATTAATAGCATGTCTTGTTAAAATGAGGATTTAGCAATCCCTTGGATGAAAGAATTCACAAATCACAATCCCTCTTCCTCTCTCAAAGATCAAGACAATCAAGTATGGCTAAAATGGATGGAATGAGCTAAATTTGTTGATATTGTATTTGGAATAAATAAAAAAGTATTTAACTACATAGTATTTTATTAAAAAATTAAGAAAATATGGAGTAATCTAAAAGGTTAGTTATAAGGATCATTTTGTCAGTTCAACAACTAATATGGTCATAATGTCATATAAGTTACAGAGTATTATTTTGTAGAAAAATTGAATGATAAACTGGTATTGTTGTGGAGAACAACCACATACACACACACTACATACGTAACCTAGGCAAAACCCAAAACAAACGTACACACACACACATAATAGAAAAAAATAAAAAACGAGTAAAAAAACCCCACCCACCCACCCCCCCCCCAGACGATGTGTTCAGTTTGTCGTGGCTTCAACGTATGAACGTACATGATTTTGTACACACTCAAGTTCTCTGTAAAAGAATAATAAAATTAATGCATGGTATCAACAAATATTATACTAATCATGTTAGTACCCTGGAAGAATGTCTAGATCCAGCAAGTGCATCACTTGATTTTAAATTTAGCTTCAGTGAACCATTTTCTTCAGTCAACCTGCCAATCTGATCCTGTAAAATGAAAACTACTGATTTCTGGAAGCAAAAAATGGTGTTCTAGGAACAAAGGAACCCAATATTAATGTCACAAAGAAATGCAGAAAGTATTCTCCAAAGAGAACACAATGAACTCAAGGTGATTATTTAGATGGTCAAGAGATGTAATCATAATTATGGTTACCTCTTTTTCCTTCAGTAACGCGGCATAATTAACAGACAGTGCTTTGATTTCAGCTTCAGATTCTTTGAGTCTCTTGATTTCGGCTTTGTATTTTTCAATCTACAACATAAAGCAAACCCCCAAGGAACGTTTTAAAATTTTCAGATTAGCACATACATTCTTCAAGGCAGAGTAATCACAGCTTCTTCGTAACAGCCCAATCCCAAAAACAATGGCAAAGGAAGATAGAGGGCCATCTTGAATTTGAAAAAAATGAGAAAAGTTGTAGCACTCAGGCAACTTTAGCCAGCATTATGCCAGAACTATTGATGGATGACAAAATTATACATTCATAAAGGAAATCATACGTGTAAATAGTATTTCTCCCAATAACTAGGCTGATCCCAGATCGCACTGAAAAAAAAAAAAAGGAATTGGCTCAATGCACTACTGAGAAGCCCACCCAAAACCCAATTCCCCAACTAAATTGTGGATCTCATCACAAACGTTTGCTGAAAATAAAAATAGGGAAAACTGGAAACGCCATTAACTCCGATTGCATCCGTATCCTAGTTCACATTCCAAAAGAACCTTCAGTTCATATCTCAAAAAGAGAGAGAACGAGCTTCGTACCTCGGACTTGTAAGCGGACTCGAGGCCATTGGCAACCGGGCCATGATAATCATATGTCGGCGATTCGGAACGAGAAAATTTCCTAGAAATCCTTCGATTGGCAGGTGAAGCTGATAAATTAGCGACGGAATTGCTGCCGGGCATCGACGGGCGGGCATCATCCTCATCGTCGCCCTCGTGAATCTCCAACGCGATCCTGTTCAAATTCTCCTTCAAATTTTCGATGGAAGTCCACATCATGCCCCACTGCTCTGGACAAAAACAGTTTGCTGTTTGCGTTTAATACAGGCAGCTTCAGGCATATTTTAAAGATACAATCCAGACTCGTTTAAGACGAATAGAGAAATCTTGTGCCATTTGTTCTCCTCAAATCACAAGTGATTATTTTTTCTCAATGTTTATTTTTTTTACTTTTTATATCAAAATTGATAAATTTTGATTCTTAATAAAATAAAAGTAGCAATTCCTTCTTTTAAAAATTGTCTTCATGCTCATTGTTCATATGTTCAAACTTAATATACTTTGTGGGTTCATTTTTTTTTCTCGTTTGATAATATAGTACTCCCTCCGTCTCAAATTAAGTTGTCCGTTTATTATTCACAATGTCATATTTTATACATTTTTTTTCTTATTTTTATTAGTCATTTGATAAAATAATATAGTCATGTTATCGCTAGTTTTTTAGACATTTTGATGTAATTTTTAAAACTACTCCATATAATTTTATTTTTAAATTCTACTAAATTTTTCATATAAAACAATTTGAAAATATTTTTGGTCAAACATCGTAAAATGAGACAGATGATTTAAACTGGGACAAAGAGAGTATAATCATGTCGCTCCTAATTTTGTAGACGAGTGATGCTTGCATAGTCACAAGGTCTACATTTAAAATGTAGACTTTCTCACATTTTTCATGAACTTACATCCAGATATTTTCTTTTTTGTAAAAGACACACTTCTTTTATATTACATATGCACTCAGGTTCATATAATGAGCATGAACTTTAGGTCCACAGAAGAATTTACTTTTTGTAGAATTCTTGATGTAATTTTTAGATATATTAATTTTATTTGAATTTTACACTAATAATCGAATAAAGTGAATTTAAAACTTTGTGAATTGGGATGGAAAGTTAATTTTAAGACATATGGAGTATAAGCTTATGACGGATTGACGGTGATGACATACCTCCGCTTCCGGAACTAAAACATCCCACCATGTGAGATGAGGCAAAAAAATTATCAGCTAAGAATGGTCAACCAACCCCTGGTTAAAGGGTTCAAGAAACTTGTGACTATCTCAATTAATTTTTAATAAAATTTAGTTAGAGAAGCTTTAGCTGAAGCAACAAGCCGACACGAATCAAACAAAGTTAGAGCTTCTACGACTTGATAAAAAATACTTTGAACTGGTGATGATTAAAGTGATAATCTAGCCTTGGTGAAGCGAACGATGGCAATAAGATTGAAAATATAAGATTCTTTGTTATTTTTATGTATATGTAGTATTTTTTTAAGTAGAAATGTGTATATGTATTTCTTAATTAAGTACTCGGGAGTAATAATAAAGTATCCAAACTAAAATTTAAATTGAAGTAAATTAAATGTTTGTAATAATGTTTTAAAAAATTGGAGTGAAATGGAAAGAAAATAAAAATCATAACTCTAAACGAAAAATAACTGGGAGCGGTGCACACAACCCCCACCCTTATGTAGTTAGTGCTCATCCAAGTGTTGCATCTTAGCTTCAGTGTAAATACTCTTACAATGGGGGAAGGGAGAGTCCCGTCGCAATGCTGGGATGAGCAGCAAGCTCCCAGTGCACGAGGACTCAACGAGGAGGACGTTCGTTGTCATGGTGCGGGCCAGTGTCGTGGGTGTGACAAGGCGAGCGATGTAGGTGAGGAAGTCCATTGTAGCGCTAGTAAGGGGTTTAATTTATTTAAATTTCAACTTTATAAATCAAATTTTCAATTTAATTCTTTAAATTTTTAAGTTTTTGTACTTTTTAATTTCTAAGGAATTCTATAATTTTAGCAGTAGCATTTCTTTTTTAATTTTAAAAATTTGAAGCACTTATTAACTTCTAGTATTTGTAAGTTTAACTTTTAAGCATGTTTAGTTTTTTCTCTTTTATTAATACTGTAAAATTTTCATACTTTTTAATGTTGTTCACTTGTTCCGTATTTTATTACATTTATAATTCTGTAAAATAAAAATTATAAATAGTACTTCCTCTGTTCCGGTGTATTTATCTATTTTT